GGGGTCTCCGCTGTCTTCCCCAGGCGGTGCCTGCAACGCTGCTTCGAGGTGATGAGCTGGGATTGCCGAATTTTCCCCCCGTCGCCGCCCGTGAGGTGGCTGCGACGCACGCCGCGCGAGGCGGCTCGCGGTGACTGCGACGCGTGCGCGCGAGGCTAGAGGCACGGCGGCTGCTGCGCGGCGCAGAGCGATGCCGCACTCCCCGGGGGCTGAGCCCGCAGCCTCGCTTCGAGGTGCTGCGCCGGGACCTCCGAAGAGCTGCGCCCCCTCGCCGCCCGTGGCCCGGCCGGTGCGGGGCCCTCCATCGAGGGCTGGCCCAGGAATGGAGTTCTGGGAACTATAGAAGAACACGAAGTGGCCCACAGTTGGCTCCGGGCATCCAAGATCATGCGCAGGAATGGAGTTCTGGGAACTTGAAGAGCACGAAGTGGCCTACAGTTGGCTCTGGGCATCCAAAATGTGGCGGTGCGTGGGCTGGGCCTGCCCGGGCGGTCTTCTCGCTCGGCCGCCGCCCGTGGCCGCCTGCGCGGGCTCTCTCCCCGGGCGCCGGGGCTGCCGTCTTCCAGGGGCGCCGCCCGGTGGCCGCCCCGCGCGCTGGCTGCACCGCGCGGCTTCCACCACGCAGCTTGCGCCATACAGCTTGCAGCCCACATGGGCGGCACGCGCGAGGGGGTGGAGGGAGGGGAGTGCTTCTTAGACGGAGGCTGCTTCTTAGAAGGCGCCGGCCTTGCATCTACAGATGAGGCCCGCGCCGTCTAAGAAGCAGGGGTGCTTGAAAGAAGCCCGGCCCCCTCCCCCCCCACCCCCTTTCTGCGCGTGGCTGACCATAGCTTCCACCCCATAGCACATGCAGAGCGCCTGAACTCACTGTCTGGGGTCCACGCTGGCAGACATACGATTGCACGCAATATTTGGCTATGATCTCCCATGAACTGCTGTGCTACGCCACGCATTGCCATCTTGTGCAATGCCATGCCACCCCGTGATCTTTACCCAACCCTGCAAAGGAATTGGGGGATCCTTGTGACTCCTCTGCGCCGCGAATCCTTCCTTCTCTGCCTACCCTTCCTCTTTTTGCAGTCCGCGCCCATTTCGGTGGGAGCCCCAAACTGGCAATTTACCACGCCCAAATCGCGTTGCCTGAATTCCCAGAGGGGTGCGTGGGACATGTGAAAGAATATCAGATTCGCGCGCCCGAGACCATCATCCCTTGTAAATTACGCAATGTTCGCGTCCCCGAAGCCACGAACCCTTGAAATTATGCAATTCTTGCGTCCCCGAGGCAACAAATCGTCGCAAATCCCGCCGTAGTCATGTCCCCGAAGCCATAATGCATCGTACATTGGACACCACAGTAACCTCGTCCCCGAGGCCCCAAACCCTTGCAAAGTATGGATTTCTTGTATTCCCGAGTCAACAAACCCTGGCAAATTACACACTATTCGCGTCCCCGAGGCCATAAACCCTTGCAACATAACGCCATATTCGCATTGCCGAGGCCAAAAGTACCTCAAGGTGCCCGAGGATGGTTCCAAGACGGCCTCAGAGGGCCCCAAGAGGCCCCAAGAGCGCTCCAAAAGGCCTCCCGAGAGAGCCCCAAGAGGCCAACATCGTCGATTCTACAGAAAGGATTTTGAAGGACTTTGGCTTTCTCGCATTTTCCGCTCTCCGACGCTCCAAGACGACTCAAGGAGCTCCTAAGACCGCCCCGAGACCGCCCCAAGACAGCCCGAGACGCCCCAAAGAGGGCCCCAAGACGGCCCACTAGGGCTCAAATATGGCCCAAGAAGCGCTCTGAGAAGCCCCGAGAAGCCCCGCGAAGCCCCTGGGAGGCCCCAAGACGCCTCCACGAGGCCCCAAGAGGCCCCACGAGGCCCCAAGAAGCGCTCAAGCCGCGCCCACGAGGCCTCCAAGAGGTCCTAAAGAACCCCACGAGGCCTCCAGAGGCGCCCAAAACGCCTCCAAGAGGCCCCCGAGAGGCTCCCCACGACACCCCAAGGCATATACAAGAGGCCTCAGACCCACAACCCAGGCTTAATAGCGGGATGGGCCGAAGGCCACTAGGATAACGCGAACGTCTCAATATGCGCTGATGAGTCCTATCCGCCCCCGCATGATGTTCCCAGATGCGCCACGGCAGCGCCGAGACGCACCGACGCGACTCGGATTACGTATATATACATATACATATACCTGCGTATGTATGTGCATATATATATATATATATATATATATATATATATAGCATTATGATATGCTGGAGGCTGGCGGCAGGGGGCGAAGCCCTTACGTGTATATATATATATACATATATATATATATATACACAGTCTTACTTATTTCTATATCCATATATACACATATATAAATGTGCCGCCGTACCGCTGGGCACGGAGTGGGCGTGTCCCCAGGTCCTGGGCCCAGTCCTCTTAGCCTCAACCCTCACTCCTGAGAAAATCTTTCAGGGGCATATACCCCAAATTCCGAAGTCTCTCGGGGCTTCCTGTGTGCCCACTGGGCTTTGCCAATTGGTGGCGCGTGAACTTTTCGGGCCCAAGAGGGCCCCAAGACTGGACAAGAGGGCCCAAGCGGCGTTCGGAGACGCCCAAAGATCGGCCCAAGACGCCCAAGAGGCTTCCAAGATTGCCCAAAGAGGCCTCCAAGAGGCCTCCTAAGAGGGCCTCAAGAGGCAACAATCATTGATGTTCCTTGAGTTTTTTATTGAAAGATTTTGGTGTTCTCGTCTTTTCGGCTGTCCGGCGCTCCAAGACGGCCGAAGTGGCCTCAAAGAGGGCCCCAAGACGGCCTCAAATTGGGCCCAAGAGAGGGAACACGAACCGAAAATCCAATCCTTCCTCCCCAAGAGGCCCCCAGAAAGCCCCAGGAAGCGTCCAGGAGGCCCGAAGAGGCCCCCAAGAGGACCCCCAGAGGCCCCAAGAGGCCCCCGAGAGGCCCCCAGATGCTCCCAAACGGCACCCAGAGGCCTCCAACCAAGATGCCCCCGAGAGGCCCCCCACGAGATCACAACGAACATCCAATAGGCTTCATACCCACAACCCAGGCACGGCGGCGGGATGAGAGGAATTCCATCATATATATATATATATATATATATATATATATATATAACAGATCCTCTTCCAGATCCTCTTCCACCCCTCCCTCTTCCCCCTTGGGGAGGGGTTTACCCCTCCCCCTACCCCCTCCCCTGGACCTGGACGGGGGGGCCGCGGCGCGTTGGAGCGTCCAAGATGGCCAAAGATGGCTTCAAATGCGCCTCAGAGAACCCAAGATGAGCTCCAAGATGGCTCAAGATAGCGCAAGATCGCTCACGATGGCTCCCAAGATGCTCCAAGAGGCCCCAAGACGATCCCAAGACGGCTCCAAGTGGCCAAAGAGCTCCCTAAGGAGGCCCCGACGAGGCCAAAATCGTCCCCAAACCTAAGGAACAACAATGTATTTTGCTTTCTCGCCTTTTCGCTTCCGATGGACATCCGAGGCCTCAAGATGGCTCCAAGATGGCCCAGGAGGGCCCCAAGAGAGGCCCAAGAGAGCCCCAAGACGGCCCCAAGAGCGCCCAAGAGCGCTCCAAGAGCGCCCCAAGAGGGGCCCAAGAGGCGATTTTTGGGGCTCCCGAGGGGGGAGGCTAAGTGGAGCTCCCCTCTTGTTTGATCGACTCCCTCCAAGATGGCCCCAAGAACGCCCCGAAGGCTCCCTAGAGCGCCTCAAGAGGGTCCCAAGAGGCGCCCAAGATGCCCCAAGGCGCCCAGAAAGTCCTCCAAGAGGCTCTCAAAAGACCCCCAAGAAGCCTCAAGAGGACTTCCGAAAAAGGCATTCAAGACGCTTCTGGCTCTTCGGTTCGCCGTCCTCTTCCTCTTCCTCTTCCTCAACCACCTCTTCCTCTTCCTCCTTTCTCCTCCTCCTCCTCCTCCTTCTCCTCCTTCTCCTCCTTCTCCTCCCTCTGCTCCTTCTCCTCCTTCTCGTCCTCCTCGTCCTCGCCCTACTCCATATCCTCCTCATTCTCCTCCTCCTCCTCCTCCTCCTCCTCCTCCTCTTCCTCTTCCTCCTCCTCCTCTTCCTCCTCCTCCTCCTCCTCCTCCTCCTCCGACGACGACGACGACTCCTAATCCATCCTCCTCCTCTCGGGGTCTGTGACAGCTTCCCCCGCCCTTTGTTATTCTGCATGCTCCCCGACTTCCCTGATCACCTCAACTCCCCTGAGCATCGTTTCTGGATGGGCTGGTGGGGATACGCGAAGCGTCAACAATTTGACCCCCCCCCAGGCCTGGGGGGATTAAGGGTCCCCCGACGACCCAAGAGGGCCCCAAGACGCACCCAAGACGGTTCAAGAAGGCCCCGAGTCTCTGAAAGATCGCTCCAAGACGCCCAAAATAGCCCCAAGACGGCTGAAGAGCCCTCCAAGAGGCCAAATCATAAATGTTCTGAAAAAATCGGTAGAGGATTTTGGTATTCTCGCCTTTTCGGCCTTCCGCCGCTCCAGGACGTCCCTAGAAGCCTCCTAGACCACTCCAAGACCGCCCAAGAAGCATCCAAGAGGGCCCCAAGACGGCCCCACAGGGCGCCCAAGACGGCCCAGCCCACGAGGGCCCCCCAGACAGCCTCAAGAGGGGCCCAAGAAGGGGAACGCGAACCGAAAATCCGAGCCTCCGGCCCCAAGAAGCCCCGAGGAGGCCCCCAAGAGGCCCCCCAAGAGGCCTCCAGAGGCTCCCCAGATGCCTAAACGAGGCCCCCAAACGATCCCCAGAGGGTCAAAACTGCCTCTAGGAGGCCCCCGAGAGGCTTCCCACGAGACCCCAACGAACACCCAAGAGGCCTATGACCCACAACCCAGGCACGGCGGCGGGATGGGCCGAAGGCCCTTGTAGATATAGAGCTGGCCCTCGGAGTCTGCGACGGAGCGCCCGCACGCGCGCGCCCCGTAACCTGCCTCCCCAGCGCCTCTGGCACGGCCGCAGAGCTGTCTCGCGAGGAGCCGCCGGTCACGAGGGCCAGCAGCTCATGGCGGAGCCACCACGAGCCTCTTGGATGGAGCGCCGGAGCCCGCTATCACAGGCCAGGTTCTGGGGCGCGGCCGCCGCTGCCTCCCGCGCCCCGGCGCCGTCGTCGGTCAGCAGCCGCGCGAGGCCGGCCGCGGCGCCCGGGGCCTCCCAGATGGGCCGCCGGAGCCCGCTCTCGGCGGCCAGGCGCTGGAGCGCGCGCGCCGCTGCCTCCCGCGCCTCGGCGCCGTCGTCGGTCAGCAGCCGCGCGAGGCCGGCCGCGGCGCCCGGGGCCGCCCAGATGGGCCGCCGGAGCCCGCTCTCACAGGCCAGGTTCCAGAGCGCGGCCGCCGCTGCCTGCCGCGCCCCGGCGCCGGCGTCGGTCAGCAGCCGCGCGAGGCCGGTCGCGGCGCCCGGGGCCTCCCAGATGGGCCGCCAGAGCCCGCGCTCTCGGCGGCCAGGTTACAGAACGCGCGCGCCGCTGCCTCCCGCGCCCCGGCGCCGTCGTCGGTCAGCAGCCGCGCGAGGCCGGCCGCGGCGCCCGAGGCCTCCCAGATGGGCTGCCGGAGCCCGCTCTCGGCGGCCAGGCTCCAGAGCGCGCCCGCCGCTGCCTCCCGCGCCCCGGCGCCGTCGTCGGTCAGCAGCCGCGCGAGGCCGGCCGCGGCGCCCGGGGCCTCCCAGATGGGCCGCCGGAGCCCGCTCTCACAAGCCAGGCTCCCGAGCGCGCGCGCCGCCGCCCCCCGCGCCCTGGCGCCGTCGTCGGTCGGCGGCCGCGCGAGGCCGGCCGCGGCGCCCGGGGCCTCCCAGATGGGCCGCTCACGCCCGCTCTCGGCGGCCAGGCTCCAGAGCGCGCCCGCCGCCGCCTGCCGCGCCCCGGCGCCGTCGTCGGCACGAGAGCACGAAGCCGGTCGCGGCGCCCGGGGCCTCCAAGATGGGCCGCCGGAGCCCGCTCTCGGCGGCCAGTTTCCAGAGCGCGAACGCCGCCGCCTCCCGCGCCCCGGCGCCGTCGTCGGTCAGCAGCCGCACGAGGCCGGCCGCGGCGCCCGAGGCCTCCCAGATGGGCCGACGGAGCCCGCTCTCGGCGGCCAAGTTCTGGAGCGCGAACGCCGCCGCCTTCCGCGCCCCGGCGCCGTCGTCGGTCAGCAGCCGCACGAGGCCGGCCGCGGCGCCCGGGGCCTCCCAGATGGGCCGCCGGAGCCCGCTCTCGGCGGCCAGGTTCCAGAGCGCGCCCGCCGCCGCCTGCCGCGCCCAGGCGCCGTCGTCGGTCAGCAGCCGCGCGAGGCCGGTCGCGGCGCCCGCGGGGCCTCCCATGGGCCTCCGGAGCCCGCTCTCGATGGCCAGCCTCCCGAGCGCGCGCGCCGCCTCCCGCGCCCCGGCGCCGTCGTCGGTCAGCAGCCGCACGAGGCCGGCCGCGGCGCCCGGGGCCTCCCAGATGGGCCGCCGGAGCCCGCTCTCGGCGGCCAGGCTCCAGAGCGCGCCCGCCGCCGCCTGCCGCGCCCCGGCGCCGTCGTCGGTCAGCAGCCGCGCGAGGCCGGTCGCGGCGCCCAGGGCCTCCCAGATGGGCCGCCGGAGCCCGCTCTCGATGGCCAGCCTCCCGAGCGCGCGCGCCGCCTCCCGCGCCCCGGCGCCGTCGTCGGTCAACGGCCGCACGAGGCCAGCCGCGGCGCCCGGGGCCTCCCAGATGGGCCGCCGGAGCCCGCTCTCGGCGGCCAGGCTCCAGAGCGCGCCCGCCGCCGCCTCCCGCGCCCCGGCGCCGTCGTCGGTCAGCAGCCGCGCGAGGCCGGCCGCGGCGCCCGGGGCCTCCCAGATGGGCCGCTGGAGCCCGCTCTCGGCGGCCAGGTTCTGGAGCGCGGCCGCCGCTGCCTCCCGCGCCCCGGCGCCGTCGTCGGTCAGCGGCCGCGCGAGGCCGGCCGCGGCGCCCGGGGCCTCCCAGATGGGCCGCCGGAGCCCGCTCTCGGCGGCCAGTTTCCGGAGCGCGAACGCCGCCGCCTCCCGCGCCCCGGCGCCGTCGTCGGTCAGCAGCCGCACGAGGCTGGCCGCGGCGCCCGGGGCCTCCAAGATGGGCCGCCGGAGCCCGCTCTCGGCGGCCAGGCGCTGGAGCGCGCGCGCCGCTGCCCCCCGCGCCCCGGCGCCGTCGTCGGTCAGCAGCCGCGCGAGGCCGGCGCCCGGGGCCTCCCAGATGGGCCGCCCGAGCCCGCTCTCGGCGGCCAACGTGCTCAGCGCGCCCACTGCCCTCTCCCGCGCTGTGCCGCTGTCGTGGGCCAGCAGCCCCGAGAGGCCTGCGACGGCGGCCTCGTTCCGGGCGACGAAGAGCTGCTGTATGCGGGCAGCTGCGAACGCCTCCGACACACTCTTGTTGAACGCCGCGAAGCCACCCCACCTTTCAACGATGAAGCCGTCCACGTATCCCTTGTGCTTCTTGTTTCTAGCGTCGGCCTTTTTGGCGTCGATGGTCATTGTTCGGTCAATGGCCAATCGCGTGGTGTTTTCGCTGACCTGGATGCGAAGTTTGGTGGGTTATGTGCAAGCAACCTCAAATATGCAAAACGATCTTGACAAATAGCTTAATGTTGGCTCATCCACTATTGCGAGCGCGCCTTGGTGGACTTTAGATATGTAGCGTATGGTGCTACAGATTCTGTCTGGTTCGAAATCATCCCGACATTGACGAAGGGTGGTGTAGTCGAGCCACAGATTAACCTCGCCCGGCACATCATTCAAAGTTTCCTCCAGAGACTGCGCCTGAATATGCGATATAAATTCGCTGGCCCAACGGGCCAGAGGCGTGTTAAGATCTCTGGTAACTGCTAAATAATACTTCTACTTCGCGCGCGCAGGGCGGCCCCTGCGGGTCCCCGGGCGAAAAGTGCCCCGGGCGATCCCCGGCAGGGTCGGGTCAGAGATGGTTTTCCTCCTGGGCGCCGCCCACGTGGCTCTCCAGGGAGCCCCAAGAAGAGCCACGAGGCCGCCAAGAGCCCTCCAAGATGGTTCAAGAGTGCTCCGAGATGCCACACGATCGTTCCAGGGCGCCCAAGATGGCCCCCAGACGCCCCAAGAGGCCTCCAAGAGCACTCCCCAGAGGGCCCCGAGAGGCAAAAATGCACGACTTGGGCAGATGTTGGCGCGTCCATCTTTTCGGCTTCCCGACTCCCCAAGACGGCCCAAGAGGCCCACAAGATCGCCCCAAGAGGGCCCAAGAAGCTCCCAAGAAGGCCCCAAGATGGCCCAAGAGGGCTCCAAGACGGCCCCAGAGGCATCCAAGACGGCCCAAGAGGGGCCCAAGAGGGCCCCAAGCGATGCCCCAGAGGGGGAACAAAAAACACAACTTCGAGCCCTCGGCCTTAAGAAGCCCCCAGGAGGCCTCAAGAGGCCCCTGAGAGGCCCCAAAAGCCCCCAAGAGGCCCTCCGGAGGCCCCCAAGCGAAGCTGAAGAGGCCCCCCAGCGGCCCCAAGAGGCTCAGTCATGCGAAAGGGGCTGGCGGAATGAGCGAAGCGATTCAATAAGGCAGCCATTCCAACACCACTGCGCCCTCTGGCGAGCAAAACTTCTGCCAATGACCATGCTTCATTCCTGCTCTGCCTCATCCACATCTTGATCGATGCTACAAAATCGTAACCTGTCAGGTCATCGCCATACATCGGAGTGATCCAATATGTCTCGCCACGTGCCTCAAACGCAGCTCTACGACTATAGTTATGTGGAAATCCGACCCCTCGTGCTGCCAAGAAAACGCTCTGCTTTGTGATGCCAATCAAGAGGTGGTAGTCCTCTGGCTCCAAATTGACAAGCTCTTCCATAGATCCTAGCCTGTTTGTGTCAATGCTGGCATAGAACGCACCGACAATGCTGCTGTCTATCCTGTCTGGCTGGAACATAATCCCTTCCGATGAATAGAGACGTCCCCTGCTCCGTCGCTTGAACAGTCTGTAATGCGACAGCCGAGCCGACGCTTACAAGGAGCACGCCCGCTCAAAATCAGCAGTGGCTGAGCCAAACCTGCTTGAGCAAGAACTGCTCTTGAGCCAGAAGGCTACGGACTGGTGGGGATACGCGAATCGTCAAGAATCCCATCAGCCCTCTTGGCATAGGTGGTTTAAGGCGTTTCCTCATCCATCTTCCCTCTTTCCCTTCGGGGGGGTCGCAACAGTTCCTTCTTACTGCGCATCCTGTTCCCCATCTGACCAAACAAGGGCGATCCCTGAACCATGACACTCCTCCCCTGCCACCTCTGTCATTATGCTAACGGAGTTTCCCACATAGGATGTTGAGGGCTTCGTGGGATCAATGAAGCAGAATAATAACAATGTGGATGGAAGGGCCATCGAAAAAGTACGTGCGAAAGAAAAACAAACGAAGGCAAGACGGTCTTCGCAGATGACCCCTGCCGTCTTCGTCGCATTTCTCTGTTTCCTCCTCCTCCTCCTCCGCCTCCTCGTCCTCGTCCTCATCAATATCGTCGCCGTCCCCCTTCCTTTTCCACACTCCTCCTGCTACTGATATCCCACCAGCCCTCTGGGCGCAGTTGGTTCCGAGAGTTTCCTCTTCCAACCTCCTTCATCCCCTTCGGGGAGGGGTTTACCCCTCCCCCTTGACTTGGACGGGGGGGGCCGCTGGTAGTTAGAGCGTCCAAAACGGCCTCGGCGAGGAAACCAAAATCATAGGTTTTAGTAGGGTTTGGGCCGATTTTGGAGGCTCCCGAGGGGGGAGGCTAATTGAGGGACCCCCTTCCTTTGATCGATCACCTCCAAGATGGCCCCAAGAGCGCTCCCAAGGCTCCCAAGAGCGCCCCAAGAGAGCTTCAAGAGGCGCCCAGGAGGCCCCAAGAGGCGACCAGGAGGCCCCAAGAGGCCTCCAAAAATCCCCCAAGATACCCCCAAGAGGCCCCCAAGAGGCCCCAAGAGGCTCCCACGAGGCACCCAACACGGTCCAAAAAGCTCCCGGGACCGCCAAAAGGCCCCCAAGAGGCCCAAGAGACCTCAAAGAGTATCCCAAGAGACATCCCTAGAGACTCCGCGAGGCATTCAAGAGGCCTTTGACTCTTCTGAACGCCCTTATCCTCCTCATCCTCCCCCTCATCATCACCATCACCATCACCATCACCATCATCATCATCATCATCATCATCATCATCACCATCACCATCACCATCACCATCGTCAAGACCACCACCATCATCGTCATCATCAACATCATCAATATCAACATCAACATCATCATCCGCCTGTTCCTCCTCCTCCTCACTCCTCCCTCCCCACCCTCATCATCCTCCTCCTCTTCCGCCTCCGACTCCTCCTCCATCCCCCCCCCCCTTTGGGTACGACGGCCTCCCCAGCCCCTTGTTCCTCTGTGTGCTGCCCCGCTTCCATGATCACCTCTACTCGCCTGGGCGTTTTTTTTTTTTTGTTATTTTTATTATATATATATATATAAAGCAAAAGCCGCGGGCGGAAACGCCAGCGGCGACGAGTAACGGTCGGGCTGCGGCCGATACTAATTGGCCGAAGAGCTGGTGGCAATGCAAGTTACCGACGGCTAACGCGCGCGACTAGGCGGCCGCGGCGGCGCCGGATGCAGCAAGCAGCGACTGCGGCGAGGGTGAGGCTGACCCCAGGGAGAGCTGAACCCAGGGCAGAGCTGCAAGGTGACCCAGGGACAACCCAGGAAGCACCCAACCTAGCCAAACCTGACACGCGCTGTCAGAATGGCGCGAATCTGAAGAGGCGCCAGCCGAAGCGTCGCACACCGACAGATCAAGTAAAGACCGCTCAAAGGTAGGTAAACCTGCGTCCCATGAGCAATCATGTGCACTGTGGTACATGCATAGCATAGCAAGACCTGTGAATACATAGCAATGCAACCGAGTAGGATGGACCACGCCCAATGCCAAAGATGTACCCAGAGTGCTCGTGCGCAGCCAATGGCGAGTGACACCGGGACAATGAAGGCGGCGCCAGCGAATGCGACGCACGACCAACAGTCATCCGAAGTGTGCCACCTGAGACACCAGTGGACCTGTTGGCAACGCCAGGAGCCAAGTAGGATAGACCACACCCGACCCTGTCGCGACCGAAAAGAACCAAGGCTGCATAAGGCTGCCCACTGGAAGGCCTGGCCACGACCACACCAGGAGAAGCCAGAGTGAATTAGGGTGCGGTTCTGGACAGTGACGAGGCGAAGCCATCTTTGCGTCGGTCACAGAGCCGCGAGGCCGGGGGGCGAAGTCCGACAGGGCCGGAGGTGAAAACAACTACAGCGGGGCCGGGGGCCAACTATGGCCTGCACGCAACACGCCCCAGCGCTGTCATGCAGACGGTATTGCCGGTGAACGCACTCGGGTCCAAATGCAGGAAGTGCGCGTACCAGGGAGGGCGGCAGAAGGCCGCCACACGAGTATTTTGTTTTGCCTCCTCATCCTCTGCTTCTCCCTCGCGCTTCTCCCCCTCGACCTCGTGCTGCCACTGCCGTCCTCGTGCTCACCGTCTCTTCCCACCCCGCCACTGCCGCGTCCACTGCGCTCTCTTCCAATGCCCTCGAGGACAGCGGCCGCAGCGAACGCCTGCTCTTCTCGCACGCGCTGTTCAGGGTGCCCTAAGTGATGGTGGGCTCCAGCATCGCTTCTGCCATCTCGCTCAGCAGCGCCATTGCCTGCTGCCACTGCCAGCGCCTGCTCTTCTCGCACTCGCCGGCCCTCGAGGACGGCTGCCGCTGAGAACGCCTGCTCTTCTCGCACGCGCTGCTCAGAGTGCCGCAGGTGATGATGCTGGGCTGCAGCTGCACGACCACCATCTCGCTGAGCAGCGCCATTGCCTGCTGCCACTGCCATCGCCTGCTCTTCTCGCACGCGCTGCTCAGGATGCCGTGGGCGACGATGTTGGGCTCCAGCTGCAAGACCATCATCTCGCTCAGCAGCGCCGCCAACTGCTGCCGCTGGCAACGTTTGCTCTCCTCGCGCGACCTGTTCAGCATGCCGTAGGTGATGGTGTTGGGATGCAGCTTCGCGAACAGGATCTCGCTCAGCAGCAGCGCCACAACCCGCTGCCACTGCTGGCACCTGCTCTTCTCGCACGCGCTGTTCACCGGGGCGTAGGTCATGATGTTCGGCCCCAGCGTCGCGACGAACATCTCGCTCAGCAGCGCCGCAGTCTGCTGCCACCGCTATCGCCTGCTCTTCTCGCACGCGCTGTTCAGGATGCCGTAGGTGATGATGTTGGGCTCCAGCTTCACGACGAACATCTCGCTTAGCAGCGCCATTGCCTGCTGCCGCTGCTAACGCCTGCTCTGCTCGCACGCGCTGTTCACAGTGACGTAGGTGATGATGTTGGGCTCCAGCTTCACGAACAGGGTCTCGCTCGACAACGCCAGAACCTGCTGCCACTGCGGGCGCCTGCACTTCTCGCGCGCGCTATTCACAAGGACGTAGGTAATGATAACCAGCTGCAGCTTCGCGAACAGGATCT